CTGCTGTGGTCAGACCAGCCCAACGTAGCAGCAGCAGGTGCTCTGCAAAGCTGAACCCACACAGCCATGAACACGCCCCATCTTAGACGGGCTCTTCCAGCAGGTGTTATTTGAATCCCGGGCATCTCTCTAGCAAAGTGCAATGATATTTAACTTCCTTGTGGGCTCAGGAGGCTGCCAAACATCTGTTGGGATTAGTTGGTTCATGTTTGTAAAGTGTATACAAATGCTATCGTAAGGAAGCGGCTGACCTATTTATAGATGTGAACGCTGGACCGAGACCCAAACCCACATACTGTATTTGCACATATGGCTGTATCTCCCCTGCCAGATTTTACTGTGTGAAGCTAGGATGGAGGTGCGAGGTGTCACCTATAGCTTACAGCCCACTTTTGGCCACTGCTAATTTAAGTGAGTCATACTGCTCCCCTCCTCCACTTTACCCCATCCAATTGCACAACTGAATTTTGTTAACAAGCTGGGCTAGTGTGGCTCTACCAGAAGCCCCCAAATGCCAGGTTGATTGCCCTTTGCAAGAGAAACCCACTTCCCTCAAGCTTCCATCCCACTCCCTGGAGCCCCACCAGGGCTGCAGGTCACAGACTCTCAGCCCACAGATCTCCGCCAGGCTCCCAGAGGCCAAGCTGCAGCAGATCAGCCACCCAAATTCCTCATGGCAAGGGACTTTGCATCAAGTTTCACATTTCTCTTGGGTGTCCCTCCCTCCCACACAGGCCTCCTGTGAGTAAGGGCTGAGGAATGAGACAGCGAGCCTGCACAGCTCAGAAGCCACAGTGATAAACAACTGTGAGGGAGATAAACTCTCCAGGAAGGACGAGGAAGAGCCCAAGTAGGTTTCAGATGGAACCAAGCACGTTTGTTAAAGGGATTATAGGTGGCAATGGCTTGCGATGGCAGGGCCACAGGAGCTGTACGTTCCCAAGACTCAGAATTGCTTTGCACCAAGTTGCAAGGCCTAGACATACAGCTTTGCTCTGCCAGAAGCTACTGCTCCCCTTTCCTCTGCAGACACATTTCAATACTTATCAGGTCTCCATCTTAGTCACATTCTGCTAACACACACTTTTTACATCCTTTTCATCTTCCCTCATAATCAGTCTCTATGTCTGTCCCCAAGTCAATTGCTCTGCTCTCACCATTCTCCACTTCATCTTCATCTCCCAGGGCAAGACCTCCTCAGACCCAGACGCTGCTCCACAGGTGCAGCCTGTGCTCTCTGCTTGAGTTCACAGGACTTCAACACACACGGTTTGGCAGACTCACTACTCCTCTTTCGGTAGCGTAACAAGTGGCAGGCTCAGCCCAAGATGCTACAGGTCAAATTTAGAGATATGGACAACACAAGAAAATTTTGGTTTTGCTTTCATATCCCACGGACAACGAGAAGGACAAACAGGAGCCCAGGAGCATACCAATACCATACCCAGAATTACTCATGTCTTTCATGAGATGGATAGGCCTTGTCTTGTTCTGGAGATCAAGAGCATCTGGAATCACTTCCATTACACATCAGGTAGAATGTGCACAACTAAAACATGCAGAAAATATTACCATCCTAGCAGGTGCATCTACCAAGACAGCTGGAACTAAAGCAGATGATCCAATGTGAGACTTTCTGATAATACACAGCTACCTTTGTACTTCCAGTTCCACCCATGAAATTGGGCACACCCTTAATGAGGTATGAATCAAATCATCCGAGACATGAGAAATTTATCAAGAGCTGTTGCAAAAACCCATAAGGTTGCTTGTGCCTCACTGCACTTTGCCTTCAAGGGATGGGGAGCACAACAAGCTGGAGCAGATCACTTTCGCTAGGACTTCTTGCACATGACGGCACGACCCGAGACCTAAAACACCACCTCAGGCGTGCAAACGCATACAGACCTGAGGCTTGGGCTACAGCATCCAGGGAACTCCAGCAGGCAGGGAACCAGAGTGGTATGGGTATGACACCCCGGTGAGTGGCCTTACCCCAGACAAGGTGGGGCACTACCAGCACAGATGATCATTGTAACACACCGGAGCATGAGTCCTCTCTTTTTCACCCCAGGGTACATCACAGCAAGGCAATACATCGGGTGGTGCAAAGGTGAGGTGATGCCAACCCACCTGCTCTGCATCCTCAGAGAGATCTGATACCCACCTGTAAAAAGTGACCACAAAACACTGCCCATAGGTCGTGTATGCAACGAGGGAATGGGAGTTAACTTCACTCAGAATAACTTACAAATGAACCCACCCTATAGGGATCCCTGTGTGTAGTAAGGCAACAAGCTCTGCTCTCATAGCTCCTTCTCCTCCTGCTCTATGATGCGGTCCTTAAAAACTTCACCGACTTCCCCAGTCTCCGCACGCCCCGAGTTCACAGCTCACCCACGCAGCAGAGCAAAAAAAGCCGTGCCAAGCCACAGAAGGAGGTGCACAGGCACTCCGTAAGCTGCCATCCTTTCACCCAGACACTCTGAGTACCTGGGCGGGCGGAGCGCCTCAGAAAGACGCACTCGCTTGCATTGTTTCAAGTTCACCTGCTGCTCTGGCCTCATTCCCAAATCTCGTATACCAAGGGAGACACTCAAGGAGGCGTTAGGTGCCAAGAACGCCACACTCATCCCTGCAACAACACGGAGGTCCAAGGCGTTATTCCTAACTTCCAAAATATGCTTCTGCCCCAAAATTTGTCACTTAACGCCACTGTTAGAGGCTTGCAATTTGTCTGCTTCATTCACAATATGACCTCCTGCACTGTATGAGGCTGACTCTTCATTGCAGCGAGGCTATGGCTGTTCTGCATGCTACAGCACCATTTCAGAAGAAAAGAAGCCGGACATCTCCCCAGATAACTTTAACCCTTTTGCCCATCGTTTCTCCCCCATCTGTCTGCCTTGGGAGCAAATTAGAATTCAGATATAGGACAGTGCTTAAACACTTGCTTATCTTTAGGCACACAAGTAGCTGCAGAGAGTTCAGCTGGATTACTCATACACTTGCATTTCAGACTTACTATGCAGAAGGTTCACTGAGCCCTCCTTAAATGGCAAAGATGCAATGCTGTGTTTTCAAAACTCAACTCTGTGCATCCCAAGGAACCCAAGAAAGAAAGGGATTCTCTAAAAAAGCACTGAAGTGGAACTGTGCTAGGGAAGGCATAATTTTCATTGTCCCAAAAAAAAGCCTGTGGGATCAGAAGTGATGGAGAACCACCACATCTCTAAAGCTTAAACTACCCTAAAAAATGGCTGTCTTACTGTACGCAGAAAAACAAGCCACTGAGGAAGTGCCCAGCTGATGATGTGAAGTCCCCCATTACCCATATTCTACTCCTTGAAATATGTTTTTATACATAAATACCACCTGGACCTTAACCATTTTTGTGGTTCATTTCTGGACCTCCCCACCATCACGTTTCAGATTCAACAGCATTAAACTGCCCTGGTTTCAAAATGCCAGAGACAAAGACCAGCTTCCATGCTAAGCTAGGCATTTCAATACCCACACAAGATAAGTACAGGCCTTGCCCCCCAGTTAAGGATAATGATGATAATGCATAAGAGGCAGGTAAAAGCAGAAAAGATGGGGGAGATGGATGGTAAAGATAGGCATAACTGCAATAAGCAGTTCAGAGTAATCTCCAGAGTTCAGTGGAAAGGATGCTAACTTCAGTCTGTAATTACAAACAATTCTTTTCAACCATTTCTCTGTTTGATTATCAGTTATGACTGCAAACTAAAGAGAACAGCCCTGGTCTAACTGGCTTTTTTTCTCCTGGATTTCAGTGTCAGAGATGACGCTACACTCCCAACCTCACTACTCTACAAGCCTCAGTATCCCATCAGTAAAACGGCAAGGATAATTTTCCTTCACCTCAGGAAGGCACCGCAAAAATAATCCCCCCTAACTTGCAAAGCGCTCCAATGAAAGACCAAAGAGCACTCCACAACAGCACAAAAGGAAATTAATAATTCTGCATCTAGTCCCGAGTTTGAATAGTATGTAGTAAATAAGGCCTGGGGCCACACACTGCACAAAAAGAAAAGAAATTGAATAGCTGCTCATTAAGTATCACCTTCCACTCTGGGCACAAAGCGTAGGTGCTCTGGCAATTAAGTGGCTATATCATAATACCCACTTGCAGGGGAGGCCAAATTAAGGTTTCATCAACAACCTTCATTCTGGCATTTCGTAGCTTTGGAGCACTTGGACTTTGCAACTTTAACATCATTCTTTTCACTAAGTTCACAGCTTGTAATTAACTACAGGACTGCCACGTGGCTGCCGCAATCACTATCTGTTTCTCTTGGGAAATCCGGATTAAAGGCTTGCCTTGGCCAAAGTAATAGCTTGAGGTATCTCTCAAGATTTGCCCAAACCCATGAAAAGCAAATCAAGTCTCTACCTCAAGTGATGAGGTGTGTTAAATTCAAGCCAGCTGATCTCCTTCGGGGCTGAGCTGAAGCAGGAACGCCACTGACACCCAGACGAGCGAGGCAGGGGAGATGCAGCAGCTGGAGTTACAACCACTTATCAGCTGCTAATCCAATCACTCTCCCAACCCAAGTCCCTTCGTGCCATGCACTGTCCGGGAGATTCCTCGCTTTCATTCAAGCTTGCCTCATTAAGTGGAGTAATTCAAGTCTGTTAAGGTGAGGTAATAAACTGCTGAAACAGAGAGAGCTCCTTAGAGTACGTGCACACAGCACATCGAAGATACACATGCATGTTACTGAGATATAAACCACTGCAGTTGGGGTACAAGGAACACAGCAACTGCAGCAGGACCGCTTGCAAGTCACCTGTGAAGCACCCCAAGTTTCTCTTCCAAAAAAAGAAAAAACAAACCTCACCAACCTGAGTTTCATGCAGCCAGCTATGTTGCTGAAAAAGCCCTAGAGGAGATATTTTAAATTTGCTCTGGTATGCTTAACTAAGGCTTGGAGCTGGAACGCTTTTACCCCATTGTGCAGTGCATCCCTACCCACCCCACTGGGCTCCACAGCCCCTTCTTCAAGGTCTGTGGCACGATCTGTCAGCCTCCTCCATCCTGCCTGCCTTCGCCCAGCTGGCCAGGCTGGTCCCACAACAAACCAGCGGGGTCCTGGTTCCTCAGCAGCGTTACGGCCCCCAGCTGTGCAGCCCTGGCAGAGGCTCTCCAGCTGGAGAGGAGATCAGGAGCACAAGCAGAGGGAGAAGAGGAGATGACTGCAGCTCCCCACAATGAGATCCACTGGCCTAAAAAAAAAAAGGGGGGGGGGTTTACAAATTGATGCATAAACAAGACCTGACTGTGTAATTCGGAGCTAACAGGGTAGTTTACTGAATGTTAATTAAATCCTCAGTGCCTGTTACCAACTGTGGAGATCAACTTATTTTTAAATTAAATAAGCAATAAATGCTTAGATGAACTTCTATTAAATTTCACCCAGTGAATGAAGTATGTGGGGCTTTTAATAGACATTAAACAAGATAGTTATGGCAAGTTAGTTGATATTTTATTACCTAAAGATAATGGCCATATTAAATCTCAACTAACTATTCCACTGGCGGCACAATCATCCAAGACTTGGCGGAAGTTTGCCTGCCTTGAAGCATCACTGGGCAGCAGTAGCAGGAGGAGGAAGGCAGCCAAGTGCTGAACGGCACCTATTTAGAGGATGCTCAAGCGCATAAGTCCACTTAGGCACAAAATGGGATCCCTCCCAGACAGATCTGGAAACCCCAAAGAGGGCTGACAGGGGCTCTCACACAGAAACAAAGCTGGCATAAATCAGAGACCCTCAAGCATCCCAACCCCCCAAAACCAAACGAAGCAATTTATGGGGTTACTGAGGAATCACTGTTACGAGGTTCCCTTATGGCATCAAGGGCAACAGAAGACATCCTCACTAACAGCCTGCAACGCTCAAAAGCTTGTATCTTTTTCTAAGAAAAGGTTATCAGCAGCCCACAACTCCACCGATGTTTGTTTTCCTTTCCTGAGCATATTGCAATAGTTTGGGAGTGCTTCTGAGTGACTCACATGTGTCACTGTCACCCACAGATCCCAACAACAGATACTGACAGTCTAAAATGACAGAGACTTGCTGACAGTGACTTTAAAATGATCACTTACATGCCAGCTCTTGCGCTTGCTCAGAACGTGATCGAAACCAGCTCTTTGAGATAAAAGCAGAATCTCCACCGAGGTGTCTCTACCGGTAACCTGAATCACAACGATTAAGTGTGGGTAGCAGGTTGGTTTTTTTTTTTTCCACATCTGGATTAGAAACATCGCGAGCCCTACTTGCCCTACCGTGCCCAGAAGCAGGAGGAACGGAAAGAGCCAAGCCCTGCACCCCGCTAACCCCCGCTTCTTGGGTAGGCACAAGCTCTCAAAAAGCTTTTAAACTTTGTGGGGTTTTTCTGGTCTGTGGTTTTCAGTTTGATTTGTTGTTTTCTCTTCTCTGGTTGTTTCTATTTTACAAAACAAAAAGCTCCCTAAATTAAAAAGAGGAAAACACAGAGCTCTTCAGACTTCACCGATGCTCTCCTCCAGCATCCCAATACACATGTGAAAGCCAATCGCAACACCTTCCCTCCAATCCCTCCTCTGGAACTATTGTTCATAAATCTATTTCAAGTCCTGTATTTTCCTACATATAACCCACACTCTTTAAAGGTATTGTTCCTTGCGAATCTGTCCCTCAGATAACCCACATCCTTAGATAAGCTATGGTTTCCGTCTCCTCCGCTCCGGCCTGCTTTTGAAGCGTGGCTGCAGTTCCAGTAAGCTCTCTAGCTTTTAGCAGAACTACCCTGCTACGAGAGCGAGAGCAAAGGGAGATGATGAAGCTACCGGGGTAAGAAAGCAGGCTGCGGAGGACCGAAAGCAGGCAAGAGCATCACTGTCTTGCTCGTGCGTGCACATAGCAAACACAGATGCTGAATCCCAGACTTCTGGCGGGTCACATAGACTTGGTATTCACCTTGCTTCCCTGAAGGCTTCTCTCCGTCAAAAAAATAATGTACCCAAAAAGCACAGATGTACCTAAAGGAAATGCATATTTCTTCATCATCCCAATGCCATCTTTAAAACCTTTCCATGCATCCATAGGGACTTCCCTCCACCTGAAGGGATTACCAGGGCTGCCAAAGACTGCACAGGGAAGTGTGCGGACGACCAGGCAGAGGTGAAACCCAGCGTGGTCCGGGGCCAGACGGAGCAGAGGGTGTGGGTGCTGCCCAGAGCCACGTCAGAGCCAGAAGAGTTTATTAGGAGAACGGCAGAGCTGTGTGGGTCAGGCTTTCAGATGCTTGACGAGGAATGAAATGCCACCGAGGATGCATTGTTCGCACAACCATGATGGGCAAAGGAACAGAGAAACCACTGCGGGCACCCTGAGGGTATATGTTTCCACAGACGCACGGAAACTGTCTTGTTGCAAACAATTTGTCATCCACCCAAGCTACTGCTTTTCTCCAGCTACGGTCAGCAAGAGATGTTTCAGAGAAACCTGCACAAAACAGTCTCTTCTTTCCAATTAGATGTTTACAGTATAAGAGCCATCACCATTAGCTGGTATAACTCTGAATGTACCTCACATTCATAATACCGTCCCATCTCCTTTCCAGACTTGGCTAAATTCTTGTCCTCAGCAACATTCTGCATGACAAATGCCACCATTTAGTTACATGGAAAAGCACTTAATTTTATTCATTTTGAACCAGTCACTTTCACCTTGGCTTACATTGGTACAACGGAACAGAGGCCCCTTTTCCACAGCACTCACTGTTGCTGTGACACCTTTCTAACATGTCCTTTATATAGGAGCGATCCCAAATGACTGGTCAAACCCCCCCAGGTTTTCCAGCTCCCCGCCATTTTTACTATCCCTCTCCAAAGCTGCATGCACCAGGCTTCACTGATCAGACGGGAGTCACTTAAGTTTTATAGTCAGGCATTATACAGACAAACGCAAGCAGTGATTTTAACAAACAAGACAACAGTCAGGCTTCAAAATTATGTGAGTGGTATCTCCACTCTGACCATGAACCCCCACACCGTAACTTGTACTATGAGTTATAATTAAAAATACATACTGATGATCATATTCTATATTTAAAAGCACTCCAGCTCCACTGAGACTGTAGCTGATACTATTAGGTGCCTTGCAAAACTCACTAGTCCAGCTCTGGAGCTTCACCCTTAAACATCCTAGAGAAACGAGTGCTTTGGCAAGGGATACACATCTGAATCTGCACTTTCATTATTTGAAAGCTTGAATTGCACTGCACCAGTTCCTGATTCTGGTAAGACAAAGCCTATTACCTCTCACTACCACAGGACAGCTGAAGACGATATTCAGAGCAATGCAACTTTGAGATCCAATGTGCTCTAGCGAGTTTCCACAAGACAAGGCAGTTAAACTGCACAGGAACCTGGGATTTTCTGTACCCTAACCGTGACTGCTGGGATATGGGGTCTGAAATCCACTCCCGGCCCACCAGTCTAGAGGCAGGTTTTTGCCAGTTTGCCCTGGTTTCACTAGAGCACATCCCAGACAATATCATTCAACACTTTTACCCCCTCAAGCTGGGTGACTGCTCGTCCAGACGGCAACTAACAGAAGGGAACAGGACCCACAGAGCTGGAGCCTGCACCGAGACAGGCATGCTCACCAGTATCCTGCCCCAACCCTCAGGCTGATCTCCAAACATGCTCCAAAGGTGAAAATCTCACCTCAGGGAAACGGGAATTGAAGCTTCTCTGCCCAGACAACTTATGGGGCGGTAGCTGGTACCAACCACACCAGGCGATTGGGACTTGCACGATGGAGACAACCGTGCAATGACAAAAGCTGTAACCCTCACTGACCCGGGCACCATACACTGTGGAGACTGCACAACAGTGATGCATTGCAGTATAGAAGCTTCAATGAGACAGTTTTAGCCTCATTTTCCTTGATGCGTCCTCCATTTCCACCCAGGAGTTTACTGAGGCAGCATACAAGGGCCACATATCCCTGACTGGAACTTCTGGATGGCAGGACCACTGGCAACACCGGACATGTGCACAGCCAACATGCCCACAGCCTCCACACAACGCACACACTCTGGGAATGACTTTTGGGAAGAGGGTGTCAAAAATCACTCAAGTGCCCTCTCTGTGCACAAGGAGCGCATTTTCACAGTCCAACAGATTCATTGACCACCACCTACCCACTACCAGGCACCTCTCTCCAGCCAAGAAACCCCCAAAAAGCCTACGGTGACCTTCAGCAACCCATGTGCTCCAAACAGGCCCTCCAACCACAGGGCTGAGAGAAGAGCCTACAAGGACCAAAAGACATCTGATGGCAGGAGAGCCCCCAGCACCATAACTGACGAGGACTTCGCACTGCCACCATCCTGGACCAGGTTCCCCCAGCTTGGTAGCTTTTCCCAACAACAGCCAACACAAGCTGACTCAGGTGGGGGGGGGGACGGACACTGAAAAAAACAATTAGAGGAAAACTATATATCAAACTCAACAATTAAGAGGGCAGCAGGGCTGAAGCCCCCATTAGCAGCACCCACATCTCACTGGAGCTGCAGGCAGGATTAGATACTGAGGGCAGGAGCTCACTGTCAGGTGGCCCTGTGGCCACCACCCACACTGTCACCTGCTGACAGCCCATCCCGGAGGGAAAAACCCTCCAACAAAGGCTAAACAACTGAAAAGAGGGGAATAACAGAGCTAATAAATTTAGGAGTGATAGGATGAAAGGTCATGGGCTGGGCAGGGGGAGACAGAGTAGGCCAACAGGAAGAGAGAAGTTTTCAACGGTAGATCTTTATCCTCAGAAGGAAATATTTCCCAAGGGAAATTCCATATTTCAGAGTATTATTTAGCTTTGCCTGGGCCAGTCCTGCTGCAGCAAGGGTGGGGATAACCAGAAAGTCCCTCAGATCCCCAAACTGTGTTGCTGCACAGCAAGCTGCGCTGTGCACAGGACAGCGACCAACATTTTCCAGCGTGAACATGGCTAGTAATGTACAAATGAAATGCTGTGTCCCATTTTCTGGTTCCAAGCGTTCCCCTGCCTTCCTAATATCCCGTATCTGTAATTACTTGGTGAGCCAGCACCTGCTGTATCACCCAGCTCCCAGACATCCAGGGATCCCCCGTTCTCTCTCAGATCTTGCCCCAAAAATCATTCCTGGAAGGTATAAGCACAAACTCTACAGGTAAATGAGTCCAGGGAAACAAAGAAATTCTCAAATCTAGAGTGTTTCCAAAAACTTAAGACTTCTATGCGAGACCTTGCATTTCACATGGGTCAAAACAACTTTCTGCACTGGGGCCAAGGTGTTGTGGATGTGTAGGAAGACACGTCAGCAAGCTTGACAGCTCCCGCAAGCTCTTTAAACTTTGCATACCAATCGCCTACAAGAGAGAAAGATACCAAACAGGAACCCAACCCAAAAACCAAACAACTGGGCCAAAAAGCCAACTCGTACAGGCATAGAAAACAAACAAACAAAAAAATAATCAAAACTAAGCAGGAGAATCCAACGCTCATTTGTTTCACCAACGGGGCCAAACTGCACCTCGAGGTACAGTAGCCAGAGCAATTACGGCATAAGTTTCTCCATCATCACCTCCTACTCCGGAGCACTGCCTTCTCCCCAGCACAGCCCCAGGGCGTGGAGAGTGCTCCTGAACAATGGCAGGAATAAGATTTGCGTGTTCAAAAGGGGAGGGCAAGAGAAGGGGGAGGAAAAAAAAAAATTCTTAAAGAAAAAGCCCAGGGTGACGTACGGGCGTGGGAAACTTTTACGTCCTTACCTGCTGGGGAAGGGTGGGCCTCCCCTGGCGTATAAAAAGCTGCAAGGGCTTTACTCAACTTGTTACTTACTACCGAGCCCCGGCCGAGGGGTCGGCCGGCGCAAGGTGCGGCGGCGGGGCAGCGCTGCAGCTGCA